ACAAATCCTTGACCTACATATCATCACAATATCCTCGTTAGAGACCACTGAACCTACCATAATTACTCAAGCTAAAAAATCTCCATACTAGCGTAAAACCATGTGTGAAGAATATGATGCACTCCTCCATAATTCTACATGGACTCTTGTACTCTCTCATCTCACACAAAACATCATCAGGTGTAAGTGGGTCTTTCGAATTAAGCGGAACCTAGATGGATCCATAGCTAGATATAAAGCACATCTAGTGGCCAAAGGGTTTCATCAACGACCTGGTGTTGACTTCACAGAGACATTTAGCCCGTTAAACCCATAATAATCTGACTTATTCTGAGTTTGGCTATCTTACAAGGCTGACATTTACGTCAACTTGATGTTAACAATGCATTTCTACGGGGGACCCTAACTAACGATGTCTTCATGCAGCAGCCTCTTGGCTTCATCCACCCTCAATATCCAAAGCATGTTTGTAAACTACAAAAAGCTATTTATGGACTTCGTCAGGCTCTAAGAGCTTGGTACATCGAACTTGGCTCGTTTTTTTTGCATTAGTTGGCTTCATCAACTCCAAGTTTGATACCTCCTTATTTCTCCATCACTAAAGTGGCAATATAATATATCTTTTAGTATATATGGATGATATTATTGTCACAGGCAATAATCCTATGAAAATTAAGGCATTCCTTAAGCATTTAGTAGATCGATTCTCCCTTGAAGATCTAAGAACCTTGAGTTATTTTTTGGGAGTGGAAGCAACATACACATCTTCCGGGCTCTTCCTATCACAATGAAAGTATATTCAAGATCTATTATCTAAAACAAACATACAAGATGCAAAGGCAGTTACAACACCTCTGTCTACTGGCGAGTCGCTCAAACCATATGATGGAAGCCCTACTACAGACTCAATTCAATACCGTCAAGTCCTTGGCTCATTATAGTACTTATCTCTCACCCATCCAGATATCTCATTTGCGGTCAATAAATTATCCCAGTTCATGCATCGACTATCTACTATGCATTGGTTTGCAGTCAAACGAATCTTACGGTATCTTCACGGGACTATCAATCATGGCCTCTTTTTCCACAAACACTCCCCCTTTAATCTCCACGCCTTTGCCGATTCTGATTGGGCAGGAAATTTTGATGATAGAACATCCACGTCGGGGTATATTCTCTTTCTTGGATCTAATCCAATCAGTTGGAGTTCTAAGAAGCAAAAGACAGTTGCACGTTCTACTGAAGCTGAATACCGTGTCATAGCCACCGCTGTTGCAGAACTCAATTGGCTCATGAATCTCCTCAAGGAACTTGGCATCAACATTACCTCTACTCCTAAATATATTGTGATAATGTCGGAGCCACTTATCTATGCGCTAATCCAATATTCCACCCACACATGAAACACATAGCTATCGACTTTCATTTTGTGCGAGAACAAAGTTGTCAGACATCAACTACGTATTTCTCATTTCTCATGTACATACGGCTGATCAACTAGCGGACTCCCTCACGAAGCCTCTCTCGCGATAACAACCTCAACAACAGCTCCTCCTCTGTTAGGTTGTTATCACGGGAAGCCAATTGATAATGGGTGCAGCGCCTCCATCTACAATTATCGATGGGCTATCAACTCTAACAAATTCTTTGGTATTGCCTCTAATATTGGATTCGGATTCGGTACATGTATTATGCTATAATGTTTTGTTTGTTCCTAGATTATAAGGTTGATTCCTACACTACTATGCATATAGTACATTCAATATGTTTTTATTTGTCTCTTTGTGTCACCCAATGTTATATAGTCATCCACAAAGTTATAGGAAAAGTTGAACCGAAAAGAAAACATTTTGTTTGGCTTCAGCAAGTTGTTATAAAGATGCTATTTGATTACTTGAGATCCTATGGTGTTAAAAATTCATCTGATCATGCTTTGATTATTTGAATATCAACATACAGGTCTTGTGTGTTTCTACTGTTTGACCAGCTCTCCATCTTTCACTCATTCAAAGATTTTTGCAAGTTGCCCAGAGTGTATGTGCCATTTCAAACATATATATTTACATGTATTACCTGCTTGGTATATATTGATAGAACTTAGATTTGAGGGTGGCTTATGCAGTTAAAACCTCATATTACACAGAAATTCCTACTAAATGAATTTGATTATGCCCTGAGTTAATTGCTGCTCCACAATTTGGCTAGTGGTTTTCTGTTCTTTTTTTTTTCTTGCATGTTGAAAAATATCCTTATTTGGTTTTATTTGTTGTTCTCTTAGTCATTGGTGTGGCAAGCAGTACACATTGTCTTGTTTGCAAGTTGGGATTGTTTATGACTGTGGCAAAGAGGATGATTTAAATTAACAATTCATCTGTGTAGGAAGCTTAACAGTTGATGCAAGAGATGTTGCATTTCTCCAGCTCTCAACATCCTGTAATTTGGATAGCACTATTTAATTTTCTGGTGTAATCAACATTATGTTGCTATCATAATAGCTTTAGAATACTGCTGGATTTCTAAAATTAATGTGTTATCTATTAGGATATTAACATCTTCAACCAAGATTTATAAAGAATATGGTTAGAGGGGGTGAATCAATTAGGATTAGTATCCTAAATATTGTTCTTTTTCTATTGATTAATATGTTAGGCACTGATTTTTAAGGAAGAGATGTGTAATATTTCTAACAAAAAAATATTACTTTTTCTGCAAAAAAATCTGCTTCAATCAATGAAAGAACTTGAATTAATCAAAGTAATATTGATCAGACCGATCTTTAAGGAAGAGCTGTGAAATATTTCTGCCATTTTATTTTTATGCTGCAGAAAAATCTGCTTCCTTCGATTAAAAGCACTTGAATTAGTCAAAGCAGATGATGCTTATGTTATTAGACCGGTGGAATTCTGGTTCAGTTCGTATGGGCAGATCTGACCATGGTTCGGTTCGAACTTAAATTGAACTGGGCTTAAATCCGGATTGAATTGGTACAATGACGCATTAATTTCGAATCAAATCAGAATTGGTTTGATACGGTTCGATTCAGATTCTCATGTTTGAAAATTTGGAATCGTGACTGTTTTGGTTTCGATTTGAATCATCTTTGTAATTTTTATATTATTTTTATTATTCAAAAATAAATTTATATTTTTTATATTTAAAATTATTAATTAAAATAATAATGAAAAATTAACGTTTCAAAATTGATCTTTGTTGATTTGATTTTGATTCTTGATTTTGAAAGATCAGAATAGTGGTTTTGGAGAATTGAAAATCATATAGGGACATTAAGATTTGTTAATAGTGTATACAATTAAAACTTGGGAAAAATATAATTCTTGAATAATGCTTGTATGCTTTTAATTAATATTATCCTCCTCTACAACTCCTAATATATCATTTAAAAAATAAATAATTTTTTTTTTAAAAAAAATAGAACTCGCATTGTCGCCTTCATCATCTCCTCCCTCCCTCAAGTAAACTAAGATGATTTTGATAATAAAACCTCATGATATAAAGAAGCCCTTTTCAGCTTCGTATTATCATTTTTTTCATCAATTTTACAATGATTATAGGCATCGATGACTTAATAATAAAAAATAAGAAAAAAAAGATGTTTTCTGATTAATTAATCGAATTGTAATAGGGATCATAATAATTTTCATCAAAATTGATCAAGACAATAAATAAATGATTGTTGACCAAATGCTTCGTGCTTCACGATGAATAAGAATAATTTGTATCTTTTATACTAAATGCTCGTTGTTGTTAGACTATAGAAAGAGATAGAGAGAGAGAGAGAGAGAGAGGGCATCCTCTTGTACTTTGGTCAATGAGAAATAAATAGAGGTATATGACAATTTGAATTTGACCCCAATTAGGGCAAGCTTTGGAAATTTAGTTTCTCGATTTACCCAACTAATTCTTTTAACACGTACTTAAAAAGAACTATTTCAAAGACTCGTTCAAATTTCTACGTTGGCACGTACAGTTCTTTTATTACGTATTTAGCATTTATCATCGACATCCCTAATAAATAGCATGGAATTTTTTTTAGAAAGACTAATTACATATAAAAATAGCATCTACATTTCATTAACAAACTTGCGTAATAGGGGAAAAAAATCATAAAATATTTTTTTCGATAAATTATATATGTGTTCTATTTGCTTAAATTATGTCGATGTTTACGATCAGATTGATTCGAATAAAATTCAAATTTCACTTCGAGATGGAGTCTTTTGAAAATCTAAATCTGTTAATTGAGTTTAAGATTTAAGTTTATCATCCATATTTATTATGAATTTCACCTTGAGAGCATCATATTTATAATTGTCTATATTAATATAAAACTATATATATTGCTAAAATTATGAAAAAATATATATTTTTTATTTTTTTTAAACTTTATTTTAGAGGTGATGTATCAAATTCAGGATTGATGCTTTAAAATAAATTTAAAAATACTTTTTATTTTTAAACATATTTACGCGTGAGTATTGGATTTCCACTCGAAATTAATTATTAATTCTTTTCGTTTTCTTTCTTTAGCATGTCTTGAATTAATCTTACGCTCGAATCGACGTCGTCGATCGCGTGGCCTCACCGCCCATCTCTTTCCTCCATTCATCATCTTCCACGTTAGCCTACGAATCAGGATGACGACGCGAGCCGTGATGTCGCTCAACAAACATTATATCGTTTCCTGGCGGTCTTGCAACAGAAGATCCTTTTTCTACTTAAGTCGACGGGTCATCGCGTAACGTCTTTACCCATCTCTTTTTTCATTCACCGTCCATCGGTTTCCTCCATTCGTCGTCTTCCACGTTCGTATCCGAATCACGATGACGACGACAAGCAGTGCTATCACTCGAGAATATTATCGTTTCCTGGGAGGATCCTTATTCCAAAGTCTTTTACAGATAGGCCACTCACGTTTGCGTATTGTGTTTGCAGTCCTGTGCGAGACCCCTGTTTAACAGCTAACGCCCATCTCCCTCCTCTTCCGCTCCTCCTCTTCCTCCAACGGCCCAAAGCCGCGTCTTTGACCTCCTCTGCGTTCCCCCTCGCGAATTAAACCCACGAACCCTAGCGCTCCGGTAAGAGAAGAGGAAGAAGAAGAGAGGTTGGAGAGGCGGCGGCGGCGGCGGCGGCGTCGTCGGGCGGCGGACGAGGACGGGGAATGGGGCAGTGCTATGGCAAGAACATCTCCGTCGTCAGGGACGGTGGGCGCCACCGACGGCAGACTCCGACGCACCCGGACAACGGTGTCGATGCCGGGGGTGTTCCCTCCGCTGCCGTCACCCCGCTCCGCGAAAGTAGCGGCCCCGCCACCCCTGTTCACCAGTCCTCCACCTCCTGTCCCAGCCCCAACCCCCAGGACTCAGCCGGCCCCCTTCCCGCCGGGGCCTCCCCCTCGCCGTCCAGGTCCACCCCGCGGCGATTCTTTCGCCGTCCCTTCCCGCCTCTGTCGCCCGCCAAGCACATCAAGGCGGCACTCGCCAAGCGCCTGGGCTCGGAGAAGCCCAAGGAGGGGAGCATCCCCGAGGCCGTTACGGGAGAGGCAGAGCAGCCTCCTCTGGATAAGAGCTTCGGGTACGGGAAGAACTTCGGATCCAAGTATGAGCTCGGGAAAGAGGTGGGGCGGGGGCATTTCGGGAATACGTGCTTGGCTACGGCGAAGAAGGGGGAGATCAAGGGTCAGACTGTTGCTGTCAAGATCATCGCCAAAGCTAAGGTGCGGTAGCATGATGTCTTATAAAAGAACCATTTCCTCTTTTCTCTTTGTTTTTACTTCTTATTGAGTCACCACCTACGTAGTTCTTCATAGAAATTGGAGGGTGCACAGTGCAGAGTAATTGGATTCATTGATGTAGTTCCGATCCATCTTACCCAATATATTATACTCCTTAATTTCGTCATGTTTGTATCCGAGTCTGAATGATGTTTGCGTTCTATTTATTGAGGTTTCTATGGATAATAACTGCTGGATTTTATTGAGTTAAATACAATAACACATCATTTTTGTCACAAATTTGCTATCAAGATTTTGGAGACCAAAAGGACTGCGGAGTTAAAATCCACATGGCCCATCAAGCATTTTGCAGTAAATTATGTCACACATCTTAAATTTTGGTGGTCTTGGATTTGTTTAGAAGATCTTTTCCATTCATATTAGTCACATAGCACAATCTAAGAAGTGAGAACTTTATTTTTTCAGTTAGCCCTGGTGCAATATATAGCATGGTTTTGGTTTTAGCTTCTTTACCTTTTTATTTGTTTGACATAAAAGGTGTATTTTTTTCTCAACTAGACCTTAGAGCTCCACTTAAATTGATTTATAATCATGTGGCTTGTTGTTTCTTATGGCAGATGACAACAGCAATATCGATTGAAGATGTTCGTAGGGAGGTCAAAATTCTGAAAGCTTTGTCCGGGCACAAAAGTCTTGTTAAATTTTATGATGCATGTGAGGATGACGTTAATGTCTACATAGTCATGGAGTATGTCAGTATTCATTTCTTTTTCAGTTCTTTTGTAAGTTGTTATGATATACTGGAATATATCTTCTTCCTGAATTGTGCATACAATGATATCTCTGACCAGATAAGAAAAAATGATCTGCCTTTGTTTTTTAAATGGCTGTACTATAAAAGGAAGTATTACCAGTGAACATTCTTCTTTAGATAATTAAAATTTCTAATTCCTTAGATCTATTGAAAGATGCAGTATCTTAAAAAAATATGGCATAAAATTGATCTTTTACCTGATTTTTTTATCATAGATTTTTGAATTTTCTACTATGTTTTGGTGATTGTCAAGCCTGTTAGTTTAGTTGTCTCATAATTTTAACTAGCTCGCCCTGCTTTTCTTCTCAGATTATGTGAAGGTGGAGAATTATTAGGTAGAATCTTAGCCAGGTATTTAAAATTACTCCATTTTAGTTAATTTGTTTGCAAGAGGAACTTCATTTTGTTTTAATTTATCATGGACTTGTAAGATCTTTAATTCCTGTATTTCCAAAGAGGTGGAAGGTACACGGAGGAAGATGCAAAAGCAATTGTTCAACAAATATTGGGTGTAGTAGCATTTTGTCATCTTCAAGGTGTTGTGCATCGTGATCTAAAGCCAGAGGTTTACCATGAATTTTATGTTTGAGGCTTCATAAATAAGTTTGAAATTAGCTGCACCTTTTTCTGTGCATTTTCCTTTTCTATTAAACCTATATTTGTTGCTGGTGTTATCTTCTTTATGTTGTAACAGAATTTTCTCTTCACCAATAATGATGAAAATGCTCCGATGAAGTTGATTGATTTTGGTCTTTCTGATTTTACCAGACCAGGTATAACATGGCCATGTTTGTTGTATATATATTTTCTGATATTTCATGCATTAAGTTACATCTTCTCTAGCTTATTTGCCTACTCCAGTTTCAGTATCTTCTCTAGCTACCTGATTATGGTATATCAGTTATTTTTTCCCTATTACTGTACTTGCATTTCATGTCTGAGGTTTAACAAAAGCTTCCTATGTATGATCATGCAGATGAAAGGCTAAATGACATTGTTGGAAGTGCATACTATGTTGCTCCTGAAGTATTGCATCGATCATACAGTAATGAAGCAGATATGTGGAGCATTGGTGTTATAACTTATATTCTGTTATGTGGAAGTAGACCTTTCTGGGCACGAACCGAATCAGGAATCTTTCGCTCTGTTTTGAGAGCTGATCCTAATTTTGATGACTCACCGTGGCCTGCTCTATCCCCAGAAGCCAAAGATTTTGTGAAAAGGCTTTTAAATAAGGACTACAGGAAAAGAATGACAGCTGCTCAGGCTTTGAGTAAGTTGCTTGTTTCATAAAATAATAATTGGTCATCAATCGTATTAAGTTATTATTTTTGGAATTCAGTATATATCTGACTAATACATGACATGTCTACTTTCCCTCTTTTTTTTTCAAACTCTTTGTTATTTTTCCATTTGAAAGCAAATATGTTCTTCCTTTTGTGGCAGCTCACCCTTGGTTGAGAAAGGAGCAGAGTTCAATTCCTTTGGATATACTTGTATATAAATTAATCACATCATACTTTTGTGTTACACCACTGAAACGGGCTGCATTAAAGGTACATGTCATATAGTGCTCTACGATTGAATGCTGACATTTTTACTTGACTTGCCAGTTTAACTTGCTACCAAAACCTTATGTTGCTTGAGGAGTTCTTCATCTTCATGCTTTTTATTTTCAAGATTTACCATAAATTCTAAATAGGCTATCAATGTTCTGGTCACTACCATCATATACCACATTGTTACTTATTTTTCATTGTTTTCATAGAAGTTAAATTTAGTTAATAAGCCAAATTAGAACCTTAAAGATATTTGTCATAAGTCAGTGGCAAATTGTGGTAGCAACTTCATCTTTTTTCTTCTTATGTATTCTTAGCTGAACCTGACTAACTTTTCATTAAACTTATGAAATGTTAAGATGCAAACTGAATAAAATTAAAAAGGAATAACAGAATGGGTTCAAATATAAAAGAGAAGTCATAGTTGATGGGGAGCAACAGTAGGAGGGAGGTTTGGCCTCGATAATGAACTCAACTTTCCTTGATATGATACATCTTAGTTTGAGTTACCTTATAGTCAGGTGTTTTTGAAGGTGGGTGCAATATATGCAGCTAAGTGGGTGGCAAGCATAATGGATATATGGCTTGTGGTAAGTTGTGTGGTTGACATTTATTTTAACACAGTACACCAAAAGTAGAGAATAAAAAAAATAAAACCAAGTGATTAAGTCAGTGTATAATTGGGTCCCATAAACAATGGTGTTATTGACATGACACTATATGTTTACTTAAAAGACTGTGTAGCAATAAACATGTTTTATTTTCTGAGAGATTAAAATTTAAAAACAATATGTGCAACCTGCCCCCACCTCCACCACCCAAATTATAAGATGATTGGTGGAAGCGAATCTCCAGCCATACATATGGTGCATCTGGATTTACTTAGTTCACTTGGCAGAATATGTATGTGATCACCATACCAGCCGCATGTGGTTGTCTATACTTTTCTAGGCTTCCTAGAGAGTATTATGTACCCAGATGACTCAAATGGGCAAGTATCTATATGGTGTGGCCATAAGGCTAGAACCACATGCATGCCAACTTTCCCTTTTCTTACTATCTAATTTATTTATTGATCTATAATGCATAGATTCATTTTGAACCAACAAAAAAGGAAAAAACAACTAACAAGTTACAAGTATTTAGTTGCTTTCCTAGCATATATTCAGGATAATAAAGAAATTTTGTCTTGAGGATGGAAAACTCCTTGAATTCATAAAACATCACTTTCACATTCTTTTGCCTGGGATATATGGGAAATTAAAGATTTTCGATAAATATCACTTGTTCTTTGTTCTTTTTTTGGTGGAAGAAAGTGCTAAACAAATCACATCAGTGCGATGATTCAGGAAACTTTCAAATACAGCAATTCCATTCATGTATCCCTTTCCACAATTTATATGAATGCCACAAATTTTTTGACTGAACAGGTCGAAACCTTTTTTAATACAACATAAGCAAGATGTGATTAAAACTCAATCCACTTATTCTATCTAACTGAAAATGATATAAACTGTTTCAGGTAGAATGCTTGTTGTAACAACCCACCCTCTTTTCTAATCAATTTCAACTTAATGTGATGTGAGAAATATAAAACCAGAAAACTGACATATAGGTTTTAATATATACGTCAAGAAGTGGATCTCCACCTTCCTATATGCATTAGTTTTAGGGGATCCTTTCTCATTTGTGATATTGATGCACAGATATTTTCATGTATAACATATGATAGATCCTCTTAAGCAACTATTCCATTCCTTGATTCATGTGGAAAGCTTGTAAAAAGGAAGTTAGCCTTCAAAAGATAAGGTCATGTGAATGAAAAGGATTGAGAAGTAACATGATGACGGAGAATTTATTAGAGAAAAGCACGGGAATGAGATGTAGGAACTGACATCTATATTTGAGACTTGGTAAGTGGTATGCTTGTTTACTGCTCGGTCGGCAAGATATTAAAGTTTGGTTCATCTCTTCTGTGCTTCGGTTTTAAGTCTATGCTGTGTTTTTCAGGTTTAACAAAATTATTAATGTGTTGTCATATATAAGCAATACATGGAATGCATCTTCGATATTACATCATCTATTTCTTGCCCCTGTTTATTAATTTTCATTGACTGAAGAAAAATAGTTTCTAACATATCACTTCTATATTCAGAGTGTCCTAGATGTATTCATGCCTAACTATATTTATAGGATAGATATTAGAAATTCTAAATTCTTTTCTGATGGAACCAAGAAATCTAGAAACTTGTTTTAATTCATCCTTTTTTTTCTGTACAGGCACTATCAAAAGCTCTATCCGAGGATGAGCTCTTGTACCTACGGTTACAGTTTAGTCTACTGGAACCAAATAAAGATGGGCTCATCTCCCTTGAAAACTTTCAGACGGTAGGTTTTCATTTTTGACTTCATTAAAGTGTTTCAGTTGGATGGTACACTGTTAGAAGGGTTAGATTGTGATGTTTCATGTTATCCATCATGTTTCTTTTCCTTTCATATTGCCTATTTTTCATGTGGTGATACATATTTGTGTTATTTTGTTAATATTACATGTACTCCACGCAGGCACTCATGAAAAATGCAACTGAAGCAATGAAGTTGTCTAGGATTCCAGACATTCTGAATGCGGTGAGGCATGTAGTCTAATGCTATTTAATAGTATGAGGTTAATTTCCTAGAAAGGATTTTACCATCTAGACATAATCATCAGCTATGTTCTCTTTATGATGTTATGATCATAAGAAGAAGTGCATCTGATCTTGCTTCTCCATATTATTGATACTTCAGAGAGCATTCATTAACAATTAAGTGACTTTCTAATGTTGACCAAAACATCATCTGCAAATAGCATATTTTTGAAGACTGCCTTGCAGTGAACTTTATTCGATCTATTTTCGTTTTCTTGAGGCTTGAGTTAGACTTTTTGTTTTTTGATTGCTCTCCTTTATGTGGGAGGCAAAGTTTATATGTTTCCTCGAGTCAATTTGCTATTCTGAAAATTTTGTTCATCAGTATCATTTTCTTGGTCTTGCTTGTAAGATGTCTCTTAGATAATGCTTCTGCTGCTTGTGAAAATCTTATTGTGGTGAAAAGCAACACAATTGATTTTTGTGTAACTCAAATCTCAGATGGAGGCACTATCACAGAGGAGGATGGATTTCAATGAGTTCTGTGCTGCTGCCACCAGCCCGTATCAGCTTGAGGCTTTGGAACAATGGGAACAGATAGCCAGTACAGCATTTACATACTTTGAACAGGAAGGAAATCAGGTCATCTCAATCGAAGAGCTAGCTCAGGTACTAAATACTATTCCAGGATGTCACTATATATTTCTAGTTAATTTGTGTCAGTACATGATCAGAACTGCTCCATGCAGGAATTAAACCTTCCAACCGCTTCTCATTCCCTTCTGCAAGATTGGATTAGAGAAGAAGATGGCAAGCTCAGTTTTCTTGGTTACACCAAATATTTGCATGGTGTAACCATCCGCGGCTCGAACACCATACTTAATTAAATTCTGTGACCACTGATGTGATTATTTGTTCATTCTTTATGCCACACAAAGTACTGCTGCAGTTTTTCCACCAGCCTCTTCTCTTTCCTTTAAGCTTATTTGTTCTCATTGCAATTCTTTTGAACTTGGCTTTGTAGAGAATGCTTGTGAAGATTAATCTGTAAAGAGGCCTGCATCATTGATTCAAAGCTTTGCTTTCCATGGGAGCAAGAAAAGTGGATGTTGCTTTGTAAGTTGAAGTACTTGGAAATGTGAGCTATTTTCTAGGGCAAGATGTAATCAGTTTATATATATATATATATATATAACGAAGACATAATGTAAGAATGAAATGTACAAAGGAACTCAAATAAACTGTAATATTCTTTTGTTAATCAGATTACATTAATTTGTATCTGAGTATCTGATTTAGAAAAATAATATATATGTTACTCTCATGAATACATCACAATTAAGACATCTATTAGGAATGTATCAATACAGGGATTTCAATAAAGAATAGTGGTTCGGTTCTTAAAAGCTTTCTTACCCAGTGGATCTCATCCTCTTTAGGTCATTAAGATGTAAATGTGTATATTTGCACTCCAAAATATATTTTAACACAAATGAATAACTTTCATGCTATCACTAACAATCATGTAATTCATGATTCACCCAATACAATACAAACAAGAGCAAGTTTTCTTTCAAAATCTATCAAACATTGAGATCTTGCCAACATAACATAACCTTTGGATCTTTGTTCTTTAGATCAAATATTCTCTTCGGTAAATTTTTTTAATCATACAAAAATAATAAAATTTTAAATATTCGGTGTTAACTATATGAATCCTTTGTCGTATCCTTAATCGAGTTAAAAATATTTAAATCTTTATTTATATTTTTGACATTATTTTTTTTTTAATTTTTTTGGTCTCTTTTCTTTAAGAAAAAAAAGGTCTCCCACCTTGCATATACACCAGAATTAATTAATTAGTGAGGTCAATAAGTCATGCTTTTACAAGAAAAAAATAAATATTAATCTCTCCATATGTTATAATGCTTCATGTATATTCATTCCTCTAGTTAACATACAATTAAAAGATTAGGTTAACTAACCATAACCATAATTAGCACCTGAAAATTACTGTGGTTAATTGTAAATTCTGCCCAACCCAGCCAAACAATTAATTGCATGTAATGAATTCTACAAAACCAAAAAGCAAAATATGTGGCGTTATCTTTTGCACGTAAAAAGATATTTTAGATCATCAGTGACTCAAAACAACAGTGCATCAATAATTGCAGATGCAGTAAAACTTCCGTATTTTCTTTCCTTTTTCTTCCTATATAGCTTCGAACAAGAAAAGGCGTTCAAAGATCAAAGTCAACTGTTTTCAGTGGCATGCATCAGGAGTCAGTCAACACCCTCGAAACATGGTCACACAGCGTGGTAAGGTCATTTTCTTCTTAGCTTCCAGAGAACAATTGTTTCAGCACTTGCAGTGATCCAGAAAACTGCAGCCACCTGCACATAACACATTTTACGCCAGCAGCATTACTGCTCGATTAGCTCTGGTTTAAGCTAGCTTTGATCCCATGTCAGATCAAAGAGGAGTTTAAAGATTTAGCCTGAGATTTTCCCCGCTTGCAAAGAACAAATAGAGATCTTGCATTGATGCGAATGATGCTCTCTTTGGCCGTGCAAGACTGTCAGGGAAGTCACCTGACCTGCTGTTCTTGACTGATATCTGTTTCTATCGCCATCACGAGCGATCACTGTTTTCTTTTTTAAGTTGACACGGTGCGATAAGCTATGAACTGTAGCATCTAATCGACCCAAGTCGAGTGCATCATTCCTCTTGAACCAGGGTTTCATTGGCGTCGCAATGAAGGTAATTTATTGGGCCAGTATGATATTAGTATATCGGATGATATTTGATATTTCTAAAAATAATAATAAAATATTATCGATAGTATATTGTTCTTGTTAGCCTATGACCCATCAATCAATCAATCAGGTTGGTTGCCCGTCAATTTCATTTAATCTAAATCATTGATAACATTATTTAAACTAAAATTGATAATAATATACCTGCAATTGATTGGGATTTATTACCTTCTATAAACATAGTTTCGTAAGGAATTTTATCGTAATTAAAATTTTTTATTGATCGATAATTATAATTAAAATTCAATCATATTTATAATATATCTTAACAAATTTATAATGAAGTCAAAGTCCCAAAAGATTATTAGTGTTTTGTATCTTGTTCCCTATCGTCCTTATTTATGGGTTCTTTATGCAAAATAATTCCAGCCAAAGAAACCTTGCGTGTTTCTGTTCTTTTCAGACGAACTCTGAGCAATGTGAATTCTGCACTATTTTCATTCCCATATAATCTAAACTATAAGATGCATTCATTATTTGCCATCCTATAACAATATGATGTAACAAAATCAATAATGGATGGTTAGAGTACTGAATGGTCTTCCCAACTAATCCACACACAATCTTATCAGGCAGTGGTTGGCAAAAGTGAATTGTCATATGCAGATAGATATAAGAAACATCAACCATGCCTATCCAAATCAACAGCTTAAATTGTTTAATCAATCTCTAAAGTTGGAAGCAATTCCCACAAAACATTAAATTATGTGCTAATAATGATGATTGCTTGAAGAACAAGTGAGGCATCCAAGTCTCAAATTACAAAATCTACATGGATAGGAGGTGGATAGGAGGAGAGAGACAGATTTCCAACTATGCATTTATTTTAATTTTCGACTATGAAAAATATTATTCTGAACTTTGACGATATGTTCTGAGAATCATATTTAGTCTTATAAGCTACAGATTCACTCCTTAAAAACATTTTTGAAGTCCATCCATCTTGAAAAGATGAAATTAATTTCAAAGTTCATTTACAAAATCAAATTTTAAAATATCTATAAGTTCCTGAATTTTATTTTTTATTTTTTAAAATTTGTTTTATATATATATATATATATATATATATACATCTTTTTATAAAATCCAAAAAATATTTAACCTCTATTAAAAAAAATTATGATCATTGGACCATTAGAGCACAGACATGGAACTCTAATTAAAAGTAATATGCTTTACAATAGATTATTTTGATGGTAAGAATATTAAGATTCTTTTATAGTTAACTTTAAGATTATCAGCTTTTTTGTGTACTATAATAATAATAATAATAATAATAATAATAATAATAATAATAATAATAATAATAATAATAATAGATCTAACTAAAAAAGTTGCTGGGAAATGGATGAAGGGGTTGGCCTTTGCCGTCTGATCTCTTCCGTTCTATTTATTGTTTTCTGGTCGCCGACGGAGAAGAGCGAACGAAATCAACGCCATAAAAGTCCAATTCCAACGCCTTTGACCCGAATCGCTCATCGTCCTCGATCTATATTAGTCCCCACTCCCCCTACGCTTCTTGATCGCTCGCGCTTTCTACCTCTGCCTTGGCTTGGAGTCGGGAGCAGAGCTCGAGAGGGGAACCTCAGGGCGACAGCGATGGCGAAGCTCTACGTGCACACGGTGCCGCCGCCGGATCTGAACAAGAACACGGAGTGGTTCATGTACCCCGGCGTCTGGACCACCTACATACTCATTCTCTTCTTTTCCTGGCTCCTTGTGCTCTCCGTTTTCGGATGCACCGCCGGCATGGCCTGGACCGTCGTCAACCTCTTCCACTTCGCGGTAGGTGGCCTCTCCTTCCCTTCCTCACCCCGTTTTGGAAGAGATTTCATCTTCCCCGTTTTTTCCCGTTTTGGAAGAGATAGATATTCATACGTTCATTCACTCGATCATTTATCATTCTTTCTTTATATGATTGTGGAAGATCTCGTTTCTAGTATTGGTTTAAAAATTAGGGTTCTTAATTCCTGGTCGTTTTAGATGTGAGAAGTTGGGACTTCTATAGATCGGGCTCAGCATCTTGACTGGGGAAGTGGTGAAACTCTCTCTCTCTCTCTCTCTTGTGTTGAGCTTCTTCATCATATATATGATTAAATCTGGCTCGAGATGATCAGTGCGATAGCAATAAGTTATGAAAGAAGCATGTGGACGACTCCAAATATTTCCGTTGAAGATTGTCACCGTTGGCACTCTTCATTGTTGAAACTCTGCTTTGATACATCAAGGGATATTTCACCACCAAACTTACTTGCTAACGAAATGACCATTAGTAACTTAGAATGATTCATTTTCTTCATCTTTGCACAGATAGTATAATTCTGCTTATGTTCGAACTGATTCACTAATAGTTTACTTTTTGATGTCTTAGAATTTGACTTGATATCGTCATTATGATTCAACATGGTTGATTGCCATGCAAGCATTTTTCGTTTGTATGGTTGTGTCAAGCATGATCGTATAATCAAGGTTTGAATTGTCACATATAAAATTGTGGATTGAACAAATTGAATAATTCTTCAAGAAAGTTCAGCAGATGTGGCCTTTGTTAGAGATTCTAAACCTTATGAAGCCAATAAGTTTATATGTTTCTTTCTTATAATTCTGGTGAGCATTCATTTCCCAGAAAGGTCAGCAGCTGTGGCCTTTGTTAGAGATTCTAAACTTTATGAAACTAATAAGTTCGCATGTTTCTTTCTTATAATTCTGGTGAACAGTGAATGCATCTGTAAGTAAGACTGACATCTATTGCACTATCAAATTATTTTCCATGAAGCAAGAGGATTGACAGATTAAGTTAGAAGTTTGTCATCGATGTTTAAACTAGTCAATGTTATTGTGTTTCCTGGTTTTCTTTAATTATAAATTTGCATATTTGTTGGTTATATAGTTATCACATATCTGGCATTTTGTTTGTCCCAATCTTATATCTCAATTGTTTCTAGGTTACCTATTACTTCTTCCATTGGAAAAAGGGTACTCCCTTTGCTGAAGACCAGGGTATCTACAATAACTTGACCTGGTGGGAACAGATGGATAACGGGAAACAACTAACTCGTAACAGGAAGTTTTTGACTGTTGTTCCTGTTGTCCTGTGAGTACTGTCCTTTTGAATATCTCTTGCATATAATTTTGATGTTTTGCTTGGACTGAAAAATCATGGAAGACAACCTTTATAAATGGATAATGGTGTGGTTTCGTAATATGGTGTTACAAATGTTAAGGCTTGGATAATTAGTCATTCTTCTTGTTGCAGCTTAGAGAGTCACACCTGGAAATGCTCTTGACATCCCAAACACCATGTAGCTTATTCCTTGCAACTAGATATTCTTATGCCATACCATTTTTCAATTGATAAAAAAAGTCACCTTTTGATGGTGGTGATTGTTAGTGACGCCTCTGTCAGCTTGACTCGGTCTTGGGCCATGTGTGTAAGAATCTAGAGATGGCTCTGAAGG